TGGGTGATCAGTTCCATGCGACTCTTTTCCTTAATTCGGAAAACGGGGAGTTCTTGGCGTAGGTTGAATGTCATGTTCATATCCACACCACCTTCATGTCCAAAATGGTGGCAAAAAGGAAGAGGTTGACTGGTATGACGCACTGTAAAATAAAGAAAAATTTAGACAAGGCAAATACAAAGCCCAGACGCGAAGGTCAACTCCCGCGTCAGATAAGCTAGGACGCGAATGTCAAACCTAGCGTCAAAAATCTCAAACGCAAAGGTCGAGCCTCGCGTCAGAGAGTTCAGACGCGTAGGTTGACCCTCGCGTTAAGAATCTGGGACGCAGAGGTCGAACCCCTCTTCAAAAATACTAAACGACGGAGTCCAGCCCCGCGTTATCAAAACGAGTTTCCTCGTTGATCCAGAGATCGAAACTTGCCGAAACAAGTTGAATGACCACGAAGGCCGTACTCACCAACGATCAGAGGGAGTTGAGGCGGCACGTTCGCCTGAGCAGCAGCGCCGCCGGCCGGCGCAGACGGCGCCGACCCTTGAGCCGCCTTGGGTGCCATGGAATCTAGTCGGAAGAGATGAACAGTTTTCGCCGGAGAGAACGAAAATTTTTCGTTGGAATTTCAAGAAGAGTCGGGTGACTCTTGATTTGACCTCCAGTGGTCTATTTATAGACAGCTGTGAGCTGTCAAATCATAACGGACGGGATTCGAGGCCAGAATCCCGCCTAAAACTCGACCCTCGCGTTTTGGGTTGGTTGAAATTCCAAAACGCTGAGCTCACCCACGCGTTCCAATTCTAAAATGTAGAAGTTATTTGGACAGTTATAATAGCAACTTCTTGATTACCAAGGCTACCACAATCATCAAGACGACCAAAGCCGGGGAGAAACAGGCGACTCCGTTGGGGAGTCTATTGGAGAAGCACAGATAGATTACAGTCAGCAACATTAGAATCATCTGGCTCAATCAGACGGAGTGAGCAATCAATTCACTCAATTTTGAGATCCAAAGTATTCCGAAAATTCGTCCCAGTCAACCGCGAACTTTCGAAAACTTTGGAGGGGGTTCTGTAGGCTGTCTAAAAATCACAATAGATAGCTGATCCTCATCAAGCCCCGAAGATGGAAGTTACGATCAGACGACTTCCTAATCACTGTATCTGTAACTCTGCAACCGCTACAAACACGGCCTCATTTCTGAGATGATTGATCTTGATGGTTGCGACAACAACATGACTAATATTATATTAGCAACTATTAGAGATGCTGATGAGCAGTGTAATGATTTCAGAAATAAAAGGTTGGACTTAGTTGGTGAGTTGCTTGGTAGAGAGTTGTGGGCATCACTATGGATGTTTGATTCCCGTCAAGTTCCAACAATGGAAGCTACAATCAAATAGTTTTCGTGCCGACAAACGAAAGCTGCAAATGGAGGACTTTTCACATAGATCGAGAAGAGTTACAATTCAACGACACTTCCGACAACTGATGAAAACTCTATTCAGCAGTCTTCATAATCTACAGTGAAGGTTACAATCTGACGACTTTCACATTCCACAACAGCTAAAGCTAGGATTACTGAGCAACGGTCCTTGCAACGCTCTTAGAAGAGGTTACAGATCAACCAATCCCTTCTAAAACGCGAAAGTCATCCCCGCGTCACAATTTTGAGAATGCAGGTGACCCCCGCTTTTCCAAGCTATAACAAGCCAAACGTGAGCGACCCTCGCGTTCATTGGTGTTCAGCCAACACCGACCCCAGCGTCTCCAAGCTATAACAAACCAAACGCGAGCGACCCTCGCGTTCATTGGTGTTCAGCCAACACCCAACCTCGCGTCTCAATTCTAAGAGGCGAAGTTGGGTTCTGAACGCTAGATTGGGCATTTGACTCGTTCGAATACGAGCCGAACGGTTTCAGAACTGTTTCCCCACAATCTGAGAAAATCACGCCCACTTAGGAGCGGATTTAGAGGGCAGTTACAACCTCTTATCCACCTATAAAAACTCAACAAACTCAACTGAGTTAAGGGCTGGATTTTTGGTACGAAGAAGGAGCAAATTAGATCTTCAGGATCTCAACTGCACAGAGAGGCGTGAGAGAGGCAAAAACCCTTGGAGATAGGATTTTTGAATCAAGTCCAGAAGATCAAAACCGAAGAGATTCTTCAACAACAGAATATCTGCTTGGTCATTAACCGAATTTTTGGTTCTAACAACTCTATTCACGGAGTTTTAACTCGTTCAGAGTTCTTAAAACTCGTACAAGAGTTACTCATAAAACTTTTCTACAGAACTTCATCGTTCCCACGAGATAAAAGACGGTCGGATCGTCAACGGAGAGCAAATTCGACGCGAACAATCGAAGGAGGCACTCCATCGCTACCTTGAAGAACCCAGTTTTAAACAAAGGAGAGAACCAAATTCGTTCTCTTCTCTTTTGTAATCGAATTATAATCGGAATCAAAGAAATACAAGTTAATTTTCTTTTGTTCTTTTCATTGCAACACCCCCCCCCCCCCCAAAAAAAAAAAAAAAAAAAAAATTGTTTTGGCCATTTCGTCCATTATTTTTTGTATACGCTTCTCGTTTTGGTACTTCTGCTCATGGCTCTCAGTGAACGCTCATCTTTCCATCTTATGTCTTAGTAAGTCTCTATTAGACCATCTCCAATAGTGTATAATTGGGTGAATTATTTGCTCCAGCAAAGAATAATTGTAAATGTAAAGTGATGTGGCTTTTGGAGGGAATTATTCAATAAATCTAGAATTATTGTAGTGAAAAGCAATCAAATCGTGCCATGTGTTATTGTAAAAGCAATTGTTTGCTGCTGGAGTGCTCATTTATCCGCGGGAGAAAACACAAAGGAGGTGAGGTGCAATCGCGACATGTGGCAGCTTCGTGTTGGTTGATGCATTTTTTTCATCCTCTTTTTAAATGGTATTTTTTACTAATAAATTGATCAAATTAAAAAAAATTCACCATTAATTTTTTTTTTCGAGATCTATAAATAGAGACCCACTTTGCTTCATTTGGACACCAAAATTTTTTGAGTATTTTCTTCAAAAAAAATTTCTTCCTCCAACTTCTTTGCTCTCTTTCAAAATTCCTCCAACTTCTTTGCTCTCTTTCAAAATGGACCCTAATCAAAATTTTAATTGTCCCCCAACTTATATGTTTCCTAACCAACCTCAAAATTCCAATAATCAACGTCCTGAAAATCTTCAAAACATGCCATCCAATTTTCAGATGCCGTATATGATGCCATCTAATTTTGGTATGCAATATCCTTATAATTTCCCTTATATGCAATATGGGCAACAAACTGGTGGAAGTAATTATGGTGGTTTCTCCAATATCAATAATCAAAACACCGAGCAAGTTACTCCTCATTTTAGCAGTGGATCAACAGATGTACCCGAGTTTTCCACTCAAATATCTCTTGGAAGTGCTGGTGATGACACACCACATAGTTTTTTGCCCCAAACACAGAAAAATACTTCTAAATCTAGTTATTCGGTTTGGAGTGTCGAGCAAAACAAACTACTTTTAACTAGTTATTTTCACTTCAGTAATGATAGTGAACTGGGTAGTGGTCAAAAGGGTGACACTTTGTGGGGTAAAATTGCTGCTTACTTGAATGAGCATTCAACAACTGGCCCTCATAGGAGTCAACAACAATGTAAAAGCCATTACAGTGATATCAACAAAAAAATTGGTAAGTGGGTTGGTGTATACAGAAAAGCATTAGCAGAGAGGCGTAGCGGTTGGTCAGACGACAACTACATAGCAAGAGCTCAAGATTTGTTTGTTGAAGAAACTAAAAAAAACTTTGCTTTGCTTGAAGAATGGAAGTTGGTTCGTAATGAACCAAAATATATGGTTGGATCTGGTGCATATCAAAGTAGTGGAAGTAAAAGGAAGAGTAGCAGGGAAGGTGATATCTCATGCTCATCAGTTCCTTCTTTTGTACGCCCAGAAGGTAGAGACACGACAAAGAAAAAAGCTAAGGGCTCCTCTAGAAGATCGAAACTTGTTATTGAGGAGGAATACTCTAAGATAGAGTCTGAACGCCAGGAGCTAAAAGAAATGAAGGAACAACAGATGAAGATGATGCAAGAAGTTGCAACAGCTCAAAAGGAGGCAGCATGTGCTCAAAAGGAGGCAGCACGTGCTGAAAAAATGAAAATGTGGATGGACCTTAATCAGAGAAATCAAAGAAATGCATTGGACGAGTATGAGTATAAACTGCTTAACATGCTACAGATCGAATTGTTTGGCCTTTAAGTTTATCTGTTTGAGAGTTCATCTTTTACAATTCCAAGAATAAATGTAATGTGTGTTGTTTAGTATGATGTTAAGAGTGTATTGTCTGAGTATGATGTCTGAGTGTATTGTTAGAATGTGATGTCTGAGTGTATTGTTCAATAAAATGCATCTTGGTTCCTGCAAACAATTCCTTTGTATGTAAGTCATTTGAAATTTGAAAAGCAAAGCTCAATTATGTTGTACGTAAAAGTCCAAACATATGATCTCTGCACACTACAAACAAACCTTATCTCTTGAACATATCAAAAGCAATGTTGCTTCACATGTGATCTCTGCACACTACAGTCCAAACCTTATCTCTTGAACATCTCAAAATCAATGTTGCTTCACATGTGATCTCTGCACACTACAATCCAAACCTTATCTCTTGAACATCTCAAAATAAATGTTGCTTCACATGTGATCTCTGCACACTACAGTCCAAACCTTATCTCTTGAACATATCAAAAGCGATGTTACTTCACATGTGATCTCTGCACACTACAATCCAAACCTTATCTCTTGAACATCTCAAAATCAATGTTGCTTCACATGTGATCTTTGCACACTACAAACAAACCTTCTCTTCACATGTGATATCTGAAAATCTAAGATTGGGTAATATAAATACCACTTGGATATTGAACTTATTACACATCACTTCATTACCAATTTCATCTACACAATTATTACTTAGATGAATCCACCCCCATACGAGTTTAACTTAGAGGAACTCCAAAAACAATGGGATTTGGAGGAATCTTTACTCAAACGCCAACAACAGTTACTTGAAGAGTTACAAGCTGCAAGTAATCGATCCCATAAGAAGACATACATAGAGAGAAATCATGAAGCTGCCCATCAAAGGCTGATGAAAGACTACTTTGTCGAATCTCCCACATACACCGACCACCAATTTCATCGGAGATACCGAATGCAACGACCACTATTTCTACGAATTGTAGATTCTCTCTCAAATTATGACACGTATTTCACTCAGAGGAGAAATAGTGCTGGAAAGCGTGGTTTATCACCAATTCAAAAGTGTACTGCTGCTATACGCATGTTAGCATATGGTGTTGCAGCTGATGCTTGTGACGAATACGTAAAGATTGGAGAAACCACTACAGTAGAGTGTGTCAGCAAGTTTTGTGAAGGTATTGTGGCCATATTTGAGAATGACTATTTGAGAAGGCCGAATGAGGAAGACCTCCAACGACTACTAAAAGTAGGCGAAGAACGCGGTTTTCCGGGAATGATTGGAAGTATTGATTGCATGCATTGGCAATGGAAAAATTGTCCTAAGGCTTGGCAATGTCAATTTACCAGTGGACATAAAGGCACAACAACAGTAATACTCGAAGCGGTTGCTTCTTATGACTTGTGGATATGTTTTTGAGTAGCTCCTGAAATCATTTTTTACTGAGCCTCAGATCTAATTAGGCTACCAGTAGCTGTTATTGTCGATGGATATTATAATCAGCCTTTCAATCTAAACTGTAAGTTACTATCTTGAGGTAAGTTCGTTTGGATGAGAATGATTTTTGCTAGGCTGTTTTGCATAATTCTGAAAACCTCCAACCTTGTATTTCTTGTCCCTGTGGTTGAGATCTCAGTCTTAGCACAAAACTTTAGGCCCCAGGCAAAAACATTTGGACTGCGGACAATTTGCTCTTGGGCTTGTGTTCATCCAACGTGAGCTCTGAAATGCTTGTGGATTGGAATCCTCTTATGCGCATAGCATCCACAGAGTGATGAATGGTTGAGATATTTTGTTGAGCCTTGAATTCTCTGTTAGTGTATAAAATTATAACCCTCACTCTCACCGCAATTGTAAAGTTTTGGTGTAGTCAGGGGGTCCTTTTACATGGTATCATAGCAATTCGAGTTCAAATTTTTAACATCCACAAGTTTCTAAAGTGGAATTTGGGGGCAAGTAGAACTCAAAATTAGCACCTGAATAACTTGTGGGATAACTTTTTATAGTGTTAGCCAATTGGAACTAGAGATAGGGTAAAATTATATTGTGTTAGTCAAATAGAACGGGATACAAAGTAGAATTGGGACAATGGTAAAATTTTATCCCATTTTTGTCAAATTTATTTAGAAAAAGAGTGTTCTTGTCTCTCTATTTGTCCTAAGTTTTAAAGTAAAACTAGATGGTAAAAAATTAGAACTTTCTTATTTGCTTATTTATTTTTCATATTTTATTTCTCCATCATCTTCGAGACACACCATAAGAAAGATCACATCTCTTCTTATCTTTCGATTTAATGTTATTTTTTATTAAATATGAGAATTGTCTAAATTAATTTAAACTTAAAAATTATAAAATTTATTTTTTACAAATTAAAATTAAGAGATGACGGAATGATGTCTAGCAGATTGCAAAAGAAAGAGGAAAAAAAGGGAGAAACTTTATTTTTTAATTTGTATTACAATAATAATTCTAAAAAAAACAAAAAGTTCCAAATTATTATAATATCCAATATTGTTTCAAGATTAATTAACTGTAAAGTAAATAATTTTTATTAATAGTAGTAAGTTTTAAAAAAATATAAATAGTATTATCCTCAAAATGCATGACTTATATGCTTATTATTACTGAAAATTAACCTTAATTATACTAACAATTGTCCCAATAAATATACTGTTTTAAAAAGGCACTCATAATTATTCCACTAAAATGTCCCACTCCAAAAAAAATTATCCCACACTAAAAGTTGTTCCGCTTTTGTAAAAAATTTTCAGTTAACTAACACCTCCTAAGGTGTTAGTCACATAGAACTAGGAAATGTGATATTTTTTTATAGTGTTAGTCAAGTAGAGTTTTTGTAGAACTAGAACTGTATTATTTTTTTGGTGCATTAGTCAAGTAGAATTCTACTAGAATTAGAATTGGGATAATTGGTCATAATTATCCCACAAATTATACTACCTATATATATAACCATAAGTTCTCCTCTCTCAAATTATCCCACACATTGGAAAGAATACAATTGGGAAAAAAAGTGAAACGTCGCCTCCCTCCCTCTTGGTTAGTTTCTCCGCCTAGAAAATTTCTCTGCCATGAAGTCAATCATCCGTTCATTTTTCTGTTTTTACTTTGTTTTTGTGATGATTAGATATTTTATTATTATCTTCAAGATGTATTACTTTATTGATAGCTTTTTGATGTTAAATTACTTTATTATTATTTGTTTGATCTAAGTTTTCTCTCCACAACAATGGTTTAGGTTAAGAATATAGCGTTGGTGGGTTAGTGCTAAAGATATGCGGGCTATTTATGTTTTTTCTATAAAAGTTAGAAAGCAACTTTGCGATCACATTGATGATTAGATGTTGAATGGTTAATGGTGATATCTATTATTATTAAATCGGCTCAGTAAATTGATTGAGATATTTATAGTTCACCTGTCAATCATCTGTTTAGCAGCCATGAATGATTCCTCATGTGGGATGATAGAAGCCATGTGGGATGATAGAAGCCATGTGGGATGATAGAAGCCATGTGGGATGATGGAAGTCGAGTCACTCTAGGGATTTAGATTTTTATTTATTTGTAAATTATTTTATTATTTGAGATGAATAGTGATGCTTTATTGCATTATATTTTATAGTTATTACTAGAATTTGCTTATTAATATTATATTATTTTTAATATACAATTATTTACAATAATAATTTATACCCGCCATTACCCCCACCAAATTATCCTACCAAATTATGCAACTTCATAATATTATCCATCGTTATCCCATCAAATTATCCTACCAAATTATCCCACTTTAAGAATTACCCATCATTGTTCCACTAAATTATCCCAGTGTTAAAAAATTATACCACTTTACCAATTATCCCAGTTCTACTTAAAAAGTTCTAGGTGACTAACCCCCCCTAAGAAAAAAAAAGAACACAACACCATAAAGTCTAGATTTAGGTCGTGAAAAAAAAAATACTTAACATTTAGGGTGCATGTTAGAGTGTAAAGTTATATATCTCAATCCTTACTACGACCAAATCTTAGTGGTCACAATTGTTTTCCCTAAAGTGGGAGGTAAAAGGTTACCCATATTTTAGTCTAGTTTGCGGCCTATAAAAGGACGTTTAACTTGCGAGGGTATGTTGGAGTAAAAAACTATTACGCTAAAATCTCACTATTTGGAGCTTGAAATCAAAGAAAGAGAATTTTTCTACATTCTCTTTAATTAAAAAGAAAAGTGTAATCTCACATACTTATACATATTGAAATGAAAAAAATTCTTAGGTGCTCATTGAGTACTAAGGTGTGACATACACCACACCAATAAGAGTAATTATGTAGCACAAATCACACTATGGATGGAGATGATGAGATTAAATAATTTTGCTTGTGCTTTACTCCTATAGCAATGGTGTATATCACATCGTGCTTAGGAAGCACCTGAAAAAGATCTAACAAGTAAAATAAACGTAAAATAAAGAAAATTTCTAAATAAGAAGATATTCTATTAAAGATTAAAAGAAATCACATATAATATATTCTAATACTCTCCCTCAAGTTGGGGCATAGAGATTAAGTGAAGCCTAGTCTATTCAGAAAAGAGTTAGAATAATTTGCCCCTCATGACATCCCACTATATTAGAAATGTAAGGGACAATAGGATAAATCTTTATTATGTTTCCTTATCTTACTAATAATTTTCTTTTATAGATATTTTACAGGGTGCCTCTTCATAATCAATGACAGTACAGAAAAATCATGACCTCTTTCTTTCAGTTCAACTCGGTGCGAGTGTGAAGTTCTTGATCCTCAAGAATTTATCCATGCTTGGAAAATTGGAACTGTGCGAGAGGGTTTTTTAGAAAGCACTACCTTCGCGCTTCCCCTTGGCGATTTTGACATCACAAATATATCATCTCATCAATTTCTTAGTGTTCTTTATCACAGTGATAATGTTATGTTGGAGGTTTGAATCTCGTCACAATTGTCGCATGAATCTCCATCAATTAAAAATAAGTCTTCCTCTTTCTTAATTCTTAGACTCAATTTATAGGGTTTGAATTCAAGTAAGAGCATCTCCCATGAACTCATTTAGGATATTTACGGTTATATGAAAACTAGCTATAAGTGGTATATTTTTTTAAAAGAAACTTTAGAAGATTAAAGCATTTTGATTCAATGTTCAGCCTATACGTCAAAAAAGATTTATGATTTTTTTGTAAAATCTATTTTCAGATTTTTCTTTCATCTACTTACATCTATGAAAATTTGATATACTAATATTGAACATTTTTAGACTGATGTACATATATTATGACCCGGCGGCCGACACACAAACACCCCACCAAAAAAAAAAAAAGGAAAAAGGAAAAAGGATCCGACTCCGCCACCGAGATATGTGATCCACTTATCTCTACACTCCATCTTAAAAGAGTATTAGAAAATATTACATTAGTTGCTGTGTTTTACATGAGTTGTCTAATTTTAAGGAAAAATTACTTCTAGGCTTCTAATTTATATTTTCAATGTGCCCCAGCCCCTCCTATTTTTTTAATGTTCTTTAGCCCCTCCTTTTTGGAAAAAAATGTGTCCATGCCCCTCCATCATTCCTCAATCATGATTCCAGCTCATTTTAACAGTTGATTAGACATGCCAGCTCATGATTAGACATATCACCTGACTTAAATCCCGAATTTACCCTCATTTTTCTCAAGTCAGTGGATGTTAACTCTTTTTTGTAACATGTTAACTCTTTTCTGTAACATGTTAACTCTTTTCTGTAAAATGTTAACTTTTTCTGTAACATATTAACTCTTACAGATTGTAGGCGTTGAAAATTGCCTATAGGTCTCCACGAGCAGCTCAAAGCTAAGAGAAGACGATGAACATCACTATCCAAGTTACAGAAGCTTGATTGGCGTCGACGAACGCTTAAAGCACGGAGTTTCAGAATAATGAAGACACGAACTGATCGGGAGCCCCGCGTACCTTACAAAAGGCGAAACGCCGCTCTTATCCCAGCTTAATCCACAATGATCTAACGATCGGAGCTTATATAACTCCTCGCCGGCTTTCCAACGCACTTTGAATCACTCAAATCCGAGTTCGGATGAAGAAGTTACGGCGGAAACGAACAAGTATGCATAACGAAGCGTCTCAGCCTGAGTTGAGACACTCCGAGGTGTTTCGGCCCAACCGAGACACCCCAAGGTGTCTCGGCCTAGGCCAAGACACCCAAGGGTGTCTCGGCCTCGCTGAGATGCCCTGGGGTGTCTCCAGCCCCAAAAATCCGCCGTTGTGCGGTTTTAACCGCCCGGACCTCCTTGATGCCTATAAATACAGCCCCTGGAGCCTCTTTTTTTCAGATCTGGAATTCTCGTGCATCGGCGAAGCCCTGCTAAACTGACGGATATCGA